ATCACAGGTACGTGTGAGTACCACCAGGTAGGTGTGAGTATCACAGGTACGTGTGAGTATCACACACAGGTACGTGTGAGTATCACACACAGGTACGTGTGAGTATCACACACAGGTACGTGTATCACACACAGGTAGGTGTGTGTATCATCAGGTAGGTGTGAGTATCACAGGTAGGTGTGAGTACCACAGGTAGGTGTGAGTACCACAGGTAGGTGTGAGTACCACACAGGTAGGTGTGAGTACCACAGGTAGGTGTGAGTATCACAGGTAGGTGTGAGTACCACACAGGAAGGTGTGAGTACCACAGGTAGGTGTGAGTATCACAGGTAGGTGTGAGTACCACAGGTAGGTGTATCACACACAGGTAGGTGTGAGTACCACAGGTAGGTGTGAGTACCACAGGTAGGTGTGAGTACCACCACGGGTACGTGTGAGTATCACAGGTAGGTGTGAGTATCACAGGTAGGTGTATCACACACAGGTAGGTGTGTGTATCATCAGGTAGGTGTATCACACACAGGTAGGTGTATCACACACAGGTACGTCTCTCCACCTGCGCGAGTATCACAGGTAGGTGTGAGTATCACAGGTAGGTGTGAGTATCACAGGTAGGTAGGTGTGAGTACCACAGGTAGGTGTGAGTATCACACACAGGTACGTGTGAGTATCACACACAGGTACGTGTGAGTATCACAGGTAGGTGTGAGTACCACAGGTAGGTGTGAGTACCACCACAGGTAGGTGTGAGTACCACAGGTACGTGTGAGTATCACACACAGGTAGGTGTGAGTATCACCCACAGGTAGGTATGAGTATCACCCACAGGTAGGTATGAGTACCACACACAGGTAGGTGTGAGTACCACACACAGGTAGGTATGAGTATCACCCACAGGTAGGTATGAGTACCACCAGGTAGGTGTATCACCCACAGGTAGGTATGAGTACCACCACGTAGGTGTGAGTATCACCCACAGGTAGGTGTGAGTACCACACACAGGTAGGTATGAGTACCACACACAGGTAGGTATGAGTATCACCCACAGGTAGGTATGAGTACCACCAGGTAGGTGTGAGTATCACCCACAGGTAGGTATGAGTACCACCCACAGGTAGGTGTGAGTACCACTAACAGGTAGGTGTGAGTACCACTAACAGGTAGGTGTGAGTACCACCAGGTAGGTGTGAATATCACCCACAGGTAGGTGTGAGTATCACCCACAGGTAGGTATGAGTATCACCCACAGGTAGGTATGAGTACCACACACAGGTAGGTGTGAGTACCACCCACAGGTAGGTATGAGTACCACCCACAGGTAGGTGTGAGTACCACTAACAGGTAGGTGTGAGTACCACTAACAGGTAGGTGTGAGTACCACCAGGTAGGTGTGAGTATCACCCACAGGTAGGTGTGAGTATCACCCACAGGTAGGTATGAGTATCACCCACAGGTAGGTATGAGTACCACACACAGGTAGGTGTGAGTACCACACACAGGTAGGTATGAGTATCACCCACAGGTAGGTATGAGTACCACCAGGTAGGTGTGAGTATCACCCACAGGTAGGTGTGAGTACCACACACAGGTAGGTATGAGTACCACACACAGGTAGGTATGAGTATCACCCACAGGTAGGTATGAGTACCACCAGGTAGGTGTGAGTATCACCCACAGGTAGGTATGAGTACCACCCACAGGTAGGTGTGAGTACCACTAACAGGTAGGTGTGAGTACCACTAGGTATGTGAGTACCACCAGGTATGTGAGTATCACCAGGTATGTGAGTATCACCAGGTAGGGGTGAGTACCACCACCAGGTATGTGAGTACCACCAGGTAGGTGTGTGTATCACCAGGTATGTGAGTATCACCAGGTATGTGAGTATCACCTTGTAGCAGGCCCAGTGTGCTAGTACCACCCACAGGTAGGTGTGAGTACCACCAACAGGTATGTGAGTACCACCAGATAGGTGTGTGTACCACCAGGTTTGTGAGTACCACGAGGTATGTGAGTATCACCAGGTATGTGAGTATCACCTTGTAGCAGGCCCAGTGTGCTAGTACCACCAGGTATGTGAGTACCACCAGGTATGTGAGTATCACCAGGTATGTGAGTACCACCACCAGGTATGTGAGTATCACCTTGTAGCAGGCCCAGTGTGCTAGTACCACCAGGTATGTGAGTACCACCAGGTAGATGTGAGTATCACCAGGTATGTGAGTACCACTAGGTATGTGAGTATCACCTTGTAGCAGGCCCAGTGTGCTAGTACCACCACCAGGTAGGTGTGAGTACCACTAGGTATGTGAGTATCACCAGGTATGTGAGTATCACCAGGTATGTGAGTATCACCAGGTATGTGAGTATCACCAGGTAGATGTGAGTATCACCAGGTAGGTGTGAGTACCACTAACAGGTAGGTGTGAGTACCACCAGGTAGGTGTGTGTATCAACAGGTATGTGAGTATCACCAGGTATGTGAGTATCACCTTGTAGCAGGCCCAGTGTGCTAGTACCACCCACAGGTAGGTGTGAGTACCACCAACAGGTATGTGAGTATCACCAGGTAGGTGTGTGTACCACCAGGTTTGTGAGTACCACGAGGTATGTGAGTATCACCAGGTATGTGAGTATCACCTTGTAGCAGGCCCAGTGTGCTAGTACCACCAGGTATGTGAGTGCCACCAGGTATGTGAGTATCACCAGGTATGTGAGTACCACCACCAGGTATGTGAGTATCACCTTGTAGCAGGCCCAGTGTGCTAGTACCACCAGGTATGTGAGTACCACCAGGTAGATGTGAGTATCACCAGGTATGTGAGTACCACTAGGTAGGTGAGTATCACCTTGTAGCAGGCCCAGTGTGCTAGTACCACCCACAGGTAGGTGGGAGTACCAGCAGGTATGTGAGTACCAGCAGGTAGGTGTGAGTACCACCAGGTAGGTGTGAGTACCACCAGGTAGGTGTGTGTATCACCAGGTATATGAGTATCACCTTGTAGCAGGCCCAGTGTGCTAGTACCACACACAGATAGGTGTGAGTACCACGAGGTATGTGAGTATCACCTTGTAGCAGGCCCAGTGTGCTAGTAGCGCCAGGTATGTGAGTATCACCAGGTAGGTGTGAGTACCACCAGGTATGTGAGTACCACCAGGTATGTGAGTACCACCTTGTAGCAGGCCCAGTGTGCTAGTACCACCAGGTATGTGAGTATCACCAGGTATGTGAGTATCACCAGGTATGTGAGTACCACTAACAGGTATGTGAGTATCACCTTGTAGCAGGCCCAGTGTACTAGTACCACCAGGTATGTGAGTATCACCAGGTATGTGAATATCACCAGGTATGTGAGTACCACCAGGTAGGTGTGAGTACCCACAGGTATGTGAGTATCACCTTGTAGCAGGCCCAGTGTGCTAGTACCACCAGGTAGGTGTGAGTATCACCTTGTAGCAGGCCCAGTGTGCTAGTACCACCAGGTAGGTGTGAGTATCACCTTGTAGCAGGCCCAGTGTGCTAGTACCACCAGGTATGTGAGTACCACCACCAGGTATGTGAGTACCACCAACAGGTATGTGAGTATCACCAGGTATGTGAGTATCACCAGGTAGGTGTGAGTATCACCTTGTAGCAGGCCCAGTGTGCTAGTACCACCAGGTATGTGAGTACCACCACCAGGTATGTGTGAGTATCACCAGGTAGGTGTGAGTATCACCTTGTAGCAGGCCCAGTGTGCTAGTACCACCAGGTATGTGAGTACCACCACCAGGTATGTGTGAGTATCACCAGGTATGTGAGTATCACCTTGTAGCAGGCCCAGTGTGCTAGTACCACCAGGTATGTGAGTACCACCAGGTATGTGAGTATCACCAGGTATGTGAGTACCACCAGGTATGTGAGTATCACCAGGTATGTGAGTATCACCTTGTAGCAGGCCCAGTGTGCTAGTACCACCAGGTAGGTGTGAGTACCACGAGGTATGTGAGTATCACCAGGTATGTGAGTATCACCTTGTAGCAGGCCCAGTGTGCTAGTACCACCAGGTATGTGAGTATCACCAGGTATGTGAGTATCACCAGGTATGTGAGTATCACCAGGTAGGTGTGTGTATCACCTTGTAGCAGGCCCAGTGTGCTAGTACCACCAGGTATGTGAGTACCACCACCAGGTATGTGAGTACCACCAACAGGTATGTGTGAGTATCACCAGGTATGTGTGTATCACCTTGTAGCAGGCCCAGTGTGCTAGTATCACCAGGTAGGTGTGAGTATCACCAGGTAGATGTGAGTACCACCAGGTATGTGAGTACCACCAGGTATGTGAGTATCACCAGGTAGATGTGAGTACCCACAGGTAGGTGTGAGTACCACCAGGTATGTGAGTACCACCACCAGGTATGTGTGAGTATCACCAGGTATGTGAGTATCACCTTGTAGCAGGCCCAGTGTGCTAGTACCACCAGGTATGTGAGTATCACCAGGTAGATGTGAGTACCACCACCAGGTATGTGTGAGTATCACCAGGTAGGTGTGTGTATCACCAGGTATGTGTGAGTATCACCAGGTAGGTGTGAGTACCACCACCAGGTATGTATCACCAGGTATGTGAGTACCACCAGGTATGTGAGTATCACCAGGTAGGTGTGAGTACCACCAGGTATGTGAGTATCACCACCAGGTATGTGTGAGTATCACCAGGTATGTGTGTATCACCTTGTAGCAGGCCCAGTGTGCTAGTATCACCAGGTAGGTGTGAGTATCACCAGGTAGATGTGAGTACCACCAGGTATGTGAGTACCACCAGGTATGTGAGTATCACCAGGTAGATGTGAGTACCCACAGGTAGGTGTGTGTATCACCAGGTATGTGAGTATCACCAGGTATGTGAGTACCACCACCAGGTATGTGAGTACCACCACCAGGTATGTGAGTATCACCTTGTAGCAGGCCCAGTGTGCTAGTACCACCAGGTATGTGAGTATCACCAGGTAGATGTGAGTACCACCACCAGGTATGTGTGAGTATCACCAGGTAGGTGTGTGTATCACCAGGTATGTGTGAGTATCACCAGGTAGGTGTGAGTACCACCACCAGGTATGTATCACCAGGTATGTGAGTATCACCAGGTATGTGAGTACCACCAGGTAGGTGTATCACCTTGTAGCAGGCCCAGTGTGCTAGTACCACCAGGTATGTGAGTATCACCAGGTATGTGAGTACCACCAGGTATGTGAGTATCACCACCAGGTATGTGTGAGTATCACCAGGTATGTGTGTATCACCTTGTAGCAGGCCCAGTGTGCTAGTATCACCAGGTAGGTGTGAGTATCACCAGGTAGATGTGAGTACCACCAGGTATGTGAGTACCACCAGGTATGTGAGTATCACCAGGTAGATGTGAGTACCCACAGGTAGGTGTGTGTATCACCAGGTATGTGAGTATCACCAGGTATGTGAGTACCACCACCAGGTATGTGAGTACCACCACCAGGTAGGTGTGAGTATCACCTTGTAGCAGGCCCAGTGTGCTAGTACCACCAGGTATGTGAGTATCACCAGGTAGATGTGAGTACCACCACCAGGTATGTGTGAGTATCACCAGGTAGGTGTGTGTATCACCAGGTATGTGTGAGTATCACCAGGTAGGTGTGAGTACCACCACCAGGTATGTATCACCAGGTATGTGAGTATCACCAGGTATGTGAGTACCACCAGGTAGGTGTATCACCTTGTAGCAGGCCCAGTGTGCTAGTACCACCAGGTATGTGAGTATCACCAGGTATGTGAGTACCACCAGGTATGTGAGTATCACCACCAGGTATGTGTGAGTATCACCAGGTATGTGTGTATCACCTTGTAGCAGGCCCAGTGTGCTAGTATCACCAGGTAGGTGTGAGTATCACCAGGTAGATGTGAGTACCACCAGGTATGTGAGTACCACCAGGTATGTGAGTATCACCAGGTAGATGTGAGTACCCACAGGTAGGTGTGTGTATCACCAGGTATGTGAGTATCACCAGGTATGTGAGTACCACCACCAGGTATGTGAGTACCACCACCAGGTATGTGTGTATCACCTTGTAGCAGGCCCAGTGTGCTAGTACCACCAGGTATGTATCACCAGGTATGTATCACCAGGTATGTGAGTATCACCTTGTAGCAGGCCCAGTGTGCTAGTACCACCAGGTAGATGTGAGTACCACTAACAGGTATGTGAGTACCACCACCAGGTATGTGAGTACCACTAACAGGTATGTGTGTATCACCACCAGGTATGTGAGTATCACCTTGTAGCAGGCCCAGTGTGCTAGTACCACCAGGTAGGTGTGAGTATCACCAGGTATGTGAGTATCACCAGGTATGTGAGTATCACCAGGTATGTGTGTATCACCTTGTAGCAGGCCCAGTGTGCTAGTACCACCAGGTATGTATCACCAGGTATGTATCACCAGGTATGTATCACCAGGTATGTGAGTATCACCAGGTATGTGTGAGTATCACCTTGTAGCAGGCCCAGTGTGCTAGTACCACTAACAGGTATGTGAGTACCACCACCAGGTAGGTGTGTGTATCACCTTGTAGCAGGCCCAGTGTGCTAGCACCACCAGGTATGTATCACCAGGTATGTGAGTATCACCAGGTATGTGTGAGTATCACCTTGTAGCAGGCCCAGTGTGCTAGTACCACCAGGTATGTGAGTATCACCAGGTAGGTGTATCACCTTGTAGCAGGCCCAGTGTGCTAGCACCACCAGGTATGTATCACCAGGTATGTATCACCAGGTATGTGAGTATCACCAGGTAGGTGTGAGTATCACCTTGTAGCAGGCCCAGTGTGCTAGTATCACCAGGTATGTATCACCAGGTAGGTGTGTGTATCACCAGGTATGTGAGTATCACCTTGTAGCAGGCCCAGTGTGCTAGTATCACCAGGTATGTATCACCAGGTAGGTGTGAGTATCACCACCAGGTATGTGTGAGTATCACCAGGTATGTACCACCAGGTAGGTGTATCACCTTGTAGCAGGCCCAGTGTGCTAGTACCACCAGGTAGGTGTGAGTATCACCAGGTAGGTGTGAGTATCACCAGGTATGTATCACCAGGTATGTGTGTATCACCTTGTAGCAGGCCCAGTGTGCTAGTATCACCAGGTAGGTGTGAGTATCACCACCAGGTAGGTGTGAGTATCACCAGGTATGTGAGTATCACCTTGTAGCAGGCCCAGTGTGCTAGCACCACCAGGTATGTATCACCAGGTATGTATCACCAGGTATGTGAGTATCACCAGGTATGTGTGTACCACCTTGTAGCAGGCCCAGTGTGTGAGTATCACCAGGTATGTGTGTACCACCACCAGGTATGTATCACCAGGTAGGTGTGAGTATCACCACCAGGTATGTGTGAGTACCACTAACAGGTAGGTATGTGTGAGTATCACCTTGTAGCAGGCCCAGTGTGCTAGTACCACCAGGTAGGTGTGAGTACCACCAGGTATGTATCACCAGGTATGTGAGTATCACCAGGTATGTGTGTATCACCTTGTAGCAGGCCCAGTGTGCTAGTACCACCAGGTATGTATCACCAGGTATGTATCACCAGGTATGTATCACCAGGTATGTGAGTATCACCAGGTATGTGTGAGTATCACCTTGTAGCAGGCCCAGTGTGCTAGTACCACTAACAGGTATGTGAGTACCACCACCAGGTAGGTGTGTGTATCACCTTGTAGCAGGCCCAGTGTGCTAGCACCACCAGGTATGTATCACCAGGTATGTGAGTATCACCAGGTATGTGTGAGTATCACCTTGTAGCAGGCCCAGTGTGCTAGTACCACCAGGTATGTGAGTATCACCAGGTAGGTGTATCACCTTGTAGCAGGCCCAGTGTGCTAGCACCACCAGGTATGTATCACCAGGTATGTATCACCAGGTATGTGAGTATCACCAGGTAGGTGTGAGTATCACCTTGTAGCAGGCCCAGTGTGCTAGTATCACCAGGTATGTATCACCAGGTAGGTGTGTGTATCACCAGGTATGTGAGTATCACCTTGTAGCAGGCCCAGTGTGCTAGTATCACCAGGTATGTATCACCAGGTAGGTGTGAGTATCACCACCAGGTATGTGTGAGTATCACCAGGTATGTACCACCAGGTAGGTGTATCACCTTGTAGCAGGCCCAGTGTGCTAGTACCACCAGGTAGGTGTGAGTATCACCAGGTAGGTGTGAGTATCACCAGGTATGTATCACCAGGTATGTGTGTATCACCTTGTAGCAGGCCCAGTGTGCTAGTATCACCAGGTAGGTGTGAGTATCACCACCAGGTAGGTGTGAGTATCACCAGGTATGTGAGTATCACCTTGTAGCAGGCCCAGTGTGCTAGCACCACCAGGTATGTATCACCAGGTATGTATCACCAGGTATGTGAGTATCACCAGGTATGTGTGTACCACCTTGTAGCAGGCCCAGTGTGTGAGTATCACCAGGTATGTGTGTACCACCACCAGGTATGTATCACCAGGTAGGTGTGAGTATCACCACCAGGTATGTGTGAGTACCACTAACAGGTAGGTATGTGTGAGTATCACCTTGTAGCAGGCCCAGTGTGCTAGCACCACCAGGTATGTGTGTGTATCACCAGGTATGTGTGTGTATCACCTTGTAGCAGGCCCAGTGTGCTAGTACCACCAGGTATGTGAGTACCACCACCAGGTAGGTGTGAGTATCACCAGGTATGTGAGTATCACCACCAGGTAGGTGTGTGTATCACCTTGTAGCAGGCCCAGTGTGCTAGTACCACCAGGTATGTATCACCAGGTATGTGTGTATCACCTTGTAGCAGGCCCAGTGTGCTAGCACCACCAGGTAGGTGTGAGTACCACGAGGTATGTGAGAGTATCACCTTGTAGCAGGCCCAGTGTGCTAGTATCACCAGGTAGGTGTGAGTATCACCACCAGGTAGGTGTGAGTATCACCAGGTATGTGAGTATCACCTTGTAGCAGGCCCAGTGTGCTAGCACCACCAGGTATGTATCACCAGGTAGGTGTGAGTATCACCACCAGGTATGTGTGAGTACCACTAACAGGTAGGTATGTGTGAGTATCACCTTGTAGCAGGCCCAGTGTGCTAGCACACGGCTGCGACCCTGTGGGTCTGGTAGGCGAAGAAGTTCACAAATCTTCACAGCCAGCGCAAACATTCGGCGAGCCACCAGCCTGGGAGCAACAACAACAACATCAACAACAACAACAACATCAACAACAACAACAACATCATAAACAACATCATAAACAACAACATCAACATCATCATCATAAACAACATCATCATCATAAACATCAACAACAACATCAACAACACCAACAACATCATCAACATCATCATCAACAACATCAACAACAACATCAACAACACCAACAACATCATCAACATCAACAACATCATCAACAACATCAACAACATCATCAACATCATCAACATCATCAACAACAACATCAATAACATCAACAACATCATCATCATAAACAACAACATAAACATCAACAACAACAACGTCAACAACAACATCAACAACATCAACATCATCAACAACATCATCAACATCAACACCAACATAAACAACATCAACAACATCAACAACACCAACAACACCACCACCAACAACACCACTACCTGGTGATGTTGATGTTGGTGAGGGTGATAGTGATGTTGATGGTGGTGATGGTAGTTATGGTGATGTTGATGGTGGTGATGGTGATGTTGATGGTGGTGATGGTGGTGATGGTGGTGAGGGTGATAGTGATGTTGATGATGGTAGTGATGGTGATGTTGATGGTGGTGATTTTGATGGTGGTGATGGTGGTGATGGTGGTGAGGGTGATAGTGATGTTGATGGTGGTGATGGTAGTTATGGTGATGTTGATGGTGGTGATGGTGATGTTGATGGTGGTGATGGTGGTGAGGGTGATAGTGATGTTGATGGTGATGATGGTAGTGATGGTGATGTTGATGGTGGTGATTTTGATGGTGGTGATGGTGGTGATGGTGGTGAGGGTGATAGTGATGTTGATGGTGGTGATGTTGATGATGGTAGTGATGGTGATGTTGATGTTGATGGTGGTGATGGTGGTGGTGATGGTGGTGAGGGTGATAGTGATGTTGATGGTGGTGATGGTGATGTTGATGATGTTGATGGTGGTGATGGTAGTGATGGTGATGTTGATGGTGGTGATGGTGGCGAGGGTGATAGTCTTGTTGATGGTGGTGATGGTGGTGATGGTGATGTTGATGGTAGTGATGGTGATAGTGATGTTGATGGTGGTGATAATGATGTTGATGGTGGTAATGGGTTACCTGTCTATCAGGACGGGTATAGTGAGGTGCTCCAATCTGAATGTGACGTTAAGGACTTCAACAAACATCACCACCATTATCACCACCACCACCACAATCACCACCACCATCACCACCGTCACCACCACCACCATCATCATCACCACCACCACTATCACCACCATCACCACCAAAATCACCACCATCATCCACCAACTCACCCACCCATTCACTCAGACAGGATGCTGTGTGTATGCTGTGTGTAAGACAGGGTGCTGTGTGTAAGACAGGGTGCTGTGTGTATGCTGTGTGTATGCTGTGTGTAAGACAGGGTGCTGTGTGTAAGACAGGGTGCTGTGTGTATGCTGTGTGTAAGACAGGGTGCTGTGTGTAAGTCAGGGTGCTGTGTGTAAGACAGGGTGCTGTGTGTATGCTGTGTGTAAGACAGGGTGCTGTGTGTAAGACAGGGTGCTGTGTGTATGCTGTGTGTAAGACAGGGTGCTGTGTGTATGCTGTGTGTAAGACAGGGTGCTGTGTGTATGACAGGGTGCTGTGTGTATGACAGGATGCTGTGTGTAAGACAGGATGCTGTGTGTATGCTGTGTGTATGCTGTGTGTATGCTGCGTGTATGCTGTGTGTGTGCTGTGTGTATGCTGCGTGTATGACAGGATGCTGTGTGTATGCTGTGTGTATGCTGTGTATTACAGGATGCTGTGTATGCTGTGTGTATGCTGTGTATGCTGCGTGTATGCTGTGTGTATGCTGTGTGTATGCTGCGTGTATGACAGGATGCTGTGTGTATGACAGGATGCTGTGTGTATACTGTGTGTATGCTGTGTGTATGCTGCGTGTATGCTGCGTGTATGACAGGGTGCTGTGTGTATGCTGTGTGTATGCTGCGTGTATGCTGTGTGTATGCTGCGTGTATGCTGTGTGTATGCTGCGTGTATGCTGTGTGTATGCTGCGTGTATGCTGCGTGTATGACAGGGTGCTGCGTGTATGCTGTGTGTATACTGCGTGTATGCTGTGTGTATGCTGCGTGTATGACAGGGTGCTGCGTGTATGCTGTGTGTATACTGTGTGTATACTGCGTGTATGCTGCGTGTATGCTGCGTGTATGACAGGGTGCTGTGTGCATGCTGTGTGTATGCTGTGTGTATGCTGCGTGTATGCTGCGTGTATGCTGCGTGTAAGACAGGGTGCTGTGTGTATGCTGTGTGTATGCTGTGTGTATGACTGGGTGCTGTGTGTATGCTGCATGTATGCTGCGTTAATGACAGGGTGCTGTGTGTATGCTGTGTGTATGCTGTGTGTATGCTGCGTGTATGCTGCGTGTATGCTGCGTGTATGACAGGGTGCTGCGTGTATGCTGTGTGTATGCTGCGTGTATGCTGCGTGTATGCTGCGTGTATGCTGTGTGTATACTGTGTGTATGCTGTGTGTATGCTGCGTGTATGCTGTGTGTATACTGTGTGTATGCTGCGTGTATGCTGCGTGTATGCTGTGTGTATACTGTGTGTATGCTGCGTGTATGCTGCGTGTATACTGTGTGTATGCTGTGTGTATGCTGCGTGTATACTGTGTGTATGCTGTGTGTATGCTGCGTGTATGCTGCGTGTATACTGTGTGTATGCTGTGTGTATGCTGCGTGTATACTGTGTGTATGCTGCGTGTATGCTGCGTGTATGCTGTGTGTATGCTGCGTGTATGCTGCGTGTATGACAGGGTGCTGCGTGTATGCTGTGTGTATGCTGTGTGTATGCTGCGTGTATGCTGCGTGTATGCTGTGTGTATGCTGCGTGTATGCTGTGTGTATACTGTGTGTATGCTGTGTGTATGAGAGGGTGCTGTGTGTATGCTGCGTGTATGCTGTGTGTATGCTGCGTGTATGCTGCGTGTATGACAGGGTGCTGTGTGTATGCTGTGTGTATACTGTGTGTATGCTGCGTGTATGCTGCGTGTATGAGAGGGTGCTGTGTGTATGCTGTGTGTATGCTGCGTGTATGAGAGGGTGCTGTGTGTATGCTGTGTGTATGCTGCGTGTATGACAGGGTGCTGCGTGTATGCTGCGTGTATGCTGCGTGTATGAGAGGGTGCTGTGTGTATACTGTGTGTATACTGTGTGTATGCTGTGTGTATACTGTGTGTATGCTGTGTGTATACTGTGTGTATGCTGTGTGTATGCTGCGTGTATGCTGCGTGTATGCTGTGTGTATGCTGCGTGTATGCTGCGTGTATGACAGGGTGCTGCGTGTATGCTGTGTGTATGCTGCGTGTATGCTGTGTGTATGCTGTGTGTATGCTGCGTGTATGCTGCGTGTATGACAGGGTGCTGCGTGTATGCTGTGTGTATGCTGTGTGTATGCTGCGTGTATGCTGTGTGTATGCTGCGTGTATGCTGCGTGTATGACAGGGTGCTGCGTGTATGACAGGGTGCTGCGTGTATGACAGGGTGCTGCGTGTATGACAGGGTGCTGCGTGTATGCTGTGTGTATGCTGCGTGTATGACAGGGTGCTGTGTGTATGCTGCGTGTATGACAGGGTGCTGCGTGTATGCTGCGTGCATGACAGGGTGCTGAGTGTATGCTGCGTGTATGAGAGGGTGCTGCGTGTATGACAGTGTGCTGCGTGTATGAGAGGGTGCTGTGTGTATGCTGCGTGTATGACAGGGTGCTGTGTGTATGCTGTGTGTATGCTGTGTGTATGCTGTGTGTATGCTGCGTGTATACTGTGTGTATGCTGTGTGTATGCTGCCTGTATGAGAGGGTGCTGTGTGTATACTGTGTGTATGCTGTGTGTATGCTGCCTGTATGAGAGGGTGCTGTGTGTATGCTGTGTGTATGCTGTGTGTATGCTGTGTGTATGCTGCGTGTATACTGTGTGTATACTGTGTGTATGCTGTGTGTATGACAGGGTGCTGTGTGTATACTGTGTGTATGCTGTGTGTATGCTGCCTGTATGAGAGGGTGCTGTGTGTATGCTGTGTGTATGCTGTGTGTATGCTGCGTGTATACTGTGTGTATACTGTGTGTATGCTGTGTGTATGACAGGGTGCTGTGTGTATGCTGTGTGTATGCTGCGTGTATGCTGCCTGTATGAGAGGGTGCTGCGTGTATGACAGTATGCTGCGTGTATGAGAGGGTGCTGCGTGTATGCTGCGTGTATGCTGCGTGTATGAGAGGGTGCTGCGTGTATGCTGCGTGTATGCTGTGTGTATGCTGCGTGTATGCTGCGTGTATGAGAGGGTGCTGCGTGTATGCTGCGTGTATGCTGCGTGTATGCTGTGTGTATGCTGCGTGTATGACAGTATGCTGCGTGTATGAGAGGGTGCTGCGTGTATGCTGTGTGTATGCTGTGTGTATGCTGCGTGTATGCTGTGTGTATACTGTGTGTATACTGTGTGTATGCTGTGTGTATGACAGGGTGCTGTGTGTATGCTGCGTGTATGCTGCGTGTATGCTGCGTGTATGAGAGGGTGCTGTGTGTATGCTGTGTGTATGCTGTGTGTATGCTGCGTGTATGCTGTGTGTATACTGTGTGTATACTGTGTGTATGCTGTGTGTATGACAGGGTGCTGTGTGTATGCTGCGTGTATGCTGCGTGTATGCTGCGTGTATGACAGGATGCTGTGTGTATGCTGTGTGTATGCTGTGTGTATGCTGCGTGTATGCTGCGTGTATGACAGTATGCTGCGTGTATGACAGGGTGCTGCGTGTATGCTGCGTGTATGCTGCGTGTATGACAGGGTGCTGCGTGTAAGTCAGCGGCATGGCCACGGCTGGGTCCCGCACGGCGTTGAGCAGTCTCAGGTGGCGGCAGGCCTCTACGAAGGCCGGCCGCTGGCCCCTGGGCGAGCGGCCGGCACACCCAGCCGACACGAAGCACTTGCCAAACGCAGCCGCCTGGGGGGTGGGACAAGGGGGGGGGTGGGACAAGGGGGGGGGGTGGGACAAGGGGGGGGTGGGACAAGGGGGGGGGGGGTGGGACAAGGGGGGGGTGGGACAAGGGGGGGGTGGGACAAGGGGGGGGGTGGGACAAGGGGGGGGGGGTGGGACAAGGGGGGGGGGGGTGGGACAAGGGGGGGGGGGGTGGGACAGGGAGAGGAGCGACGTCACCACGTGGACAAAGTCAGTTCGTACTTTCTAACCAGCACGGCACGGCCCCTCCCACACCGCCGTGGGCCCTCCCACACCACCGTTGCCCCTCCCACACCACCGTGGCCCCTCCCACACCACCGTGGCACCTCCCACACCACCGTGGCCCCTCCCACACCGCCGTAGCCCCTCCCACACCACCGCGGCCCCTCCCACACCACCGTGGCCCCTCCCACACCACCGTGGCCCCTCCCACACCACCGTGACCCCTCCCACACCACCGTGGCCCCTCCCACACCACCGTGGCACCTCCCACACCACCGTGGCCCCTCCCACACCACCGTGGCCGCTCCCACACCACCGTGGCACCTCCCACACCACCGTGGCCCCTCCCACACCACCGTGGCCCCTCCCACACCACCGTGGCCCCTCCCACACCACCGTGGCCCCTCCCACACCACCGTGGGCCCTCCCACACCGCCGTGGGCCCTCCCACACCACCGTGGCACCTCCCACACCACCGTGGAACCTCCCACACTGCCGTGGCCCCTCCCACACCCGGTGGCCCCTCCCACACCACCGTGGCCCCTCCCACACCACCGTGGCCCCGCCCACACCACCGTGGCCCCTCCCACACCACCGAGGAAACTCCCACACCACCGTGGCACCTCCCACACCACCGTGGCCCCTCCCACACCACCGTGGCCCCTCCCACACCACCGTGGGCCCTCCCACACCGCCGTGGCCCCTCCCACACCCCGTGGCCCCTCCCACACCACCGTGGCACCTCCCACACCACCGTGGAACCTCCCACACTGCCGTGGCCCCTCCCACACCCGGTGGCCCCTCCCACACCACCGTGGCCCCTCCCACACCACCGTGGCCCCGCCCACACCACCGTGGCCCCGCCCACACCACCGTGGCCCCTCCCACACAACCGAGGAAACTCCCACACCACCGTGGCCCCTCCCACACCGCCGTGGGCCCTCCCACACCGCCGTGGGCCCTCCCACACCACCGTGGCCCCTCCCACACCACCGTGGCACCTCCCACACCCTGTGGCCCCTCCCACACCACCGTGGCCCCACCCACACCGCCGTGGCCCCTCCCACACCGCCGTGGCCCCTCCCACACCGCCGTGGGCCCTCCCACACCGCCGTGGGCCCTCCCACACCACCGTGGCACCTCCCACACCACCGTGGCCCCTCCCACACCACCGTGGCACCTCCCACACCGCCGTGGCCCCTCCCACACCACCATGGAACCTCCCACACCACCGTGGCCCCTCCAACCCCCGTGGCACCTCCCACACCGCCGTGGCACCTCCCACACCACCGTGGCCCCTCCCACACCACCGTGGCCCCTCCCACACCATCTTGGCCCCTCCCACACCACCGTGGCCCCTCCCACACCACCGTGGCCCCTCCCACACCACCGTGGCCCCTCCCACACCCTGTGGCACCTCCCTCCCCCCATGGCACCTCCCCCCCATGGCCCCTCCACCCCATGGCCCCTCCGCCCCATGGCCCCACCCCCTGTTACCCTGAGTCTGACTGTGACTCACTGTGTGTGTGTCTGACTGTGACTCACTATGTGTGTGTGTGTCTGACTGTGACTCACACTGTGTGTGAGACTGACTCACACTGTGTGTTAGTCTGCCTGTGACTCACACTGTGTGTTAGTCTGCCTGTGACTCACACTGTGTGTTAGTCTGCCTGTGACTCACCCTGTGTGTGACTCACCCTGTGTGTGAGTCTGTGACTCACTGTGTGTGTTAGTCTGCCTGTGACTCACACAGTGTGTGAGTCTGCCTGTGACTCACCCTGTGTGTGACTCACACTGTGTGTGAGTCTGCCTGTGACTCACTGTGTGTGTTAGTCTGCCTGTGACTCACACTGTGTGTGACTCACCCTGCGTGTGACTCACACAGTGTGTGACTCACCCTGTGTGTGAGTCTGTGACTCACTGTGTGTGTTAGTCTGCCTGTGACTCACACAGTGTGTGAGTCTGTGACTCACTGTGTGTGTTAGTCTGCCTGTGACTCACACAGTGTGTGAGTCTGCCTGTGACTCACCCTGTGTGTGAGTCTGCCTGTGACTCACACTGTGTGTGAGTCTGCCTGTGACTCACACTGTGTGTGAGTCTGCCTGTGACTCACCCTGCGTGTGACTCACCCTGTGTGTGACTCACCCTGTGTGTGAGTCTGTGACTCACTGTGTGTGTGAGTCTGCCTGTGACTCACACTGTGTGTGAGTCTGCCTGTGACTCACACTGTGTGTGAGTCTGCCTGAGACTCACACTGTGTGTGAGTCTGCCTGTGACTCACACTGTGTGTGAGTCTGCCTGTGACTCACTGTGTGTGTGAGTCTGCCTGTGACTCACACTGTGTGTGAGTCTGCCTGTGACTCACACTGTGTGTGAGTCTGCCTGTGACTCACACTGTGTGTGAGTCTGCCTGTGACTCACACTGTGTGTGAGTCTGCCTGAGACTCACACTGTGTGTGAGTCTGCCTGTGACTCACACTGTGTGTGAGTCTGCCTGTGACTCACTGTGTGTGTGAGTCTGCCTGTGACTCACACTGTGTGTGAGTCTGCCTGTGACTCACACTGTGTGTGAGTCTGCCTGTGACTCACACTGTGTGTGACTCACCCTGTGTGTGAGTCTGCCTGTGACTCACACTGTGTGTGAGTCTGTGACTCACCCTGTGTGTGAGTCTGCCTGTGACTCACCCTGTGTGTGACTCACCCTGCGTGTGACTCACCCTGTGTGTGACTCACCCTGTGTGTGACTCACACTGTGTGTGAGTCTGCCTGTGACTCACACTGTGTGTGAGTCTGCCTGTGACTCACCCTGTGTGTGAGTCTGCCTGTGACTCACACTGTGTGTGAGTCTGCCTGTGACTCACACTGTGTGTGAGTCTGCCTGTGACTCACCCTGCGTGTGACTCACCCTGTGTGTGACTCACCCTGTGTGTGAGTCTGTGACTCACTGTGTGTGTGAGTCTGCCTGTGACTCACACTGTGTGTGAGTCTGCCTGTGACTCACACTGTGTGTGAGTCTGCCTGAGACTCACACTGTGTGTGAGTCTGCCTGTGACTCACACTGTGTGTGAGTCTGCCTGTGACTCACTGTGTGTGTGAGTCTGCCTGTGACTCACACTGTGTGTGAGTCTGCCTGTGACTCACACTGTGTGTGAGTCTGCCTGTGACTCACACTGTGTGTGAGTCTGCCTGTGACTCACACTGTGTGTGAGTCTGCCTGAGACTCACACTGTGTGTGAGTCTGCCTGTGACTCACACTGTGTGTGAGTCTGCCTGTGACTCACTGTGTGTGTGAGTCTGCCTGTGACTCACACTGTGTGTGAGTCTGCCTGTGACTCACACTGTGTGTGAGTCTGCCTGTGACTCACACTGTGTGTGACTCACCCTGTGTGTGAGTCTGCCTGTGACTCACACTGTGTGTGAGTCTGTGACTCACCCTGTGTGTGAGTCTGCCTGTGACTCACCCTGTGTGTGACTCACCCTGCGTGTGACTCACCCTGTGTGTGACTCACCCTGTGTGTGACTCACACTGTGTGTGAGTCTGCCTGTGACTCACACTGTGTGTGAGTCTGCCTGTGACTCACACTGTGTGTGAGTCTGCCTGTGACTCACCCTGTGTGTGAGTCTGCCTGTGACTCACACTGTGTGTGAGTCTGCCTGTGACTCACACTGTGTGTGAGTCTGCCTGTGACTCACACTGTGTGTGAGTCTGCCTGTGACTCACCCTGTGTGTGAGTCTGCCTGTGACTCACCCTGTGTGTGACTCACCCTGTGTGTGACTCACCCTGACTGTGACTCACCCTGTGTGTGACTCACCCTGCGTGTGACTCACCCTGCGTGTGACTCACCCTGCGTGTGACTCACCCTGTGTGTGACTCACCCTGTGTGTGAGTCTGCCTGTGACTCACCCTCAGCAGCATCTTCTGCGTCCGAGCCTGCCCGTGACTCACCCTGCGTGTGACTCACTCTGTGTGTGAGTCTGACTGTGACTCACTGTGCCTGTGACTCACCCTGTGTGTGAGTCTGCCTGTGACTCACACTGTGTGTGAGTCTGACTGTGACTCACACTGTGTGTGAGTCTGACTGTGACTCACACTGTGTGTGAGTCTGACTGTGACTCACCCTGTGTGTGAGTCTGCGTGTGACTCACCCTGTGTGTGAGTCTGCGTGTGACTCACACTGTGTGAGTCACACAGGCAGACTCACACTGTGTGTGAGTCTGCCTGTGACTCACCCTCAGCAGCATCTTCTGCGTCCGAGCCTGCCCGTGGTTGCAGGCGGCGGCGATGCACTCATCCGCGGCCACCTCCAGTGAGCCTTGCTCCCTGATGGCTCGCAGATACTCGTCAGCCTTCTGTGAGTCGCTCTGTGTGTGTGTGTGAGACACGGGGTAACGTAGTGGTAGCGTAGGGGTAACGTAGGGGTAACGTAGGGGTAACGTTGGGGAAATCTCTCACTCACACACAGCAGGAGACAGTCAGCCTTCTGTGAGTCGCTCTGTGTGTGTGTGAGACACGGGGTAACGTAGTGGTAGCGTAGGGGTAACGTAGGGGTAACCTGCCACTCACTCACAGCAGGTGCTAGTCAGCCTTCTGTGTGACACTGTGTGTGTGTGAGACACGGGGTAACCTGTCACTCACTCACTCACAGCAGGTGCTAGTCAGCCTTCTGTGTGACACTGTGTGTGTGTGTGACGGGGTAACCTGTCACTCACTCACTCACAGCAGGAGCTAGTCAGCCTTCTGTGTGACACTGTGTGTGTGTGTGAGACACGGGGTAACCTGTCACTCACTCACTCACACACAGCAGGAGCTAGTCAGCCTTCTGTGTGACACTGTGTGTGTGTGAGACACGGGGTAACCTGTCACTCACACACACACAGCAGGAGACAGTCAGCCTTCTGTGTGACGCTGTGTGTGTGAGACACGGGGTAACCTGTCACTCACTCACACACAGCAGGAGACAGTCAGACTTCTGTGTGACGCTGTGTGTGTGTGTGAGACACGGGGTAACCTGTCACTCACACACTCACACACAGCAGGTGACAGTCAGCCTTCTGTGTGTGTGTGTGAGACACGGGGTAACCTGTCACTCACACACAGCAGGAGCTAGTCAGCCTTCTGTGTGACACTGTGTGTGTGTGTGTGACACGGGGTAACCTGTCACTCACTCACACACACAGCAGGAGACAGTCAGCCTTCTGTGTGACACTGTGTGTGTGTGTGTGACACAGGGTAACCTGTCACTCACACACAGCAGGTGACAGTCAGCCTTCTGTGTGACACTGTGTGTGTGTGTGAGACACGGGGTAACCTGTCACTCACTCACAGCAGGAGACAGTCAGCCTTCTGTGTGTGTGTGAGACACGGGGTAACCTGTCACTCACTCACACACACACAGCAGGAGACAGTCAGCCTTCTGTGTGACGCTGTGTGTGTGTGTGAGACACGGGGTAACCTGTCACTCACTCACACACAGCAGGAGCTAGTCAACCTTCTGTGTGACACTGTGTGTGTGTGTGAGATACGGGGTAACCTGTCACTCACTCACACACAGCAGGAGCTAGTCAGACTTCTGTGTGACACTGTGTGTGTGTGTGAGACACGGGGTAACCTGTCACTCACTCACACACAGCAGGAGCTAGTCAGCCTTCTGTGTGACACTGCGTGTGTGTGAGACACGGGGTAACCTGTCACTCACACACACACAGCAGGAGACAGTCAGCCTTCTGTGTGACACTGTGTGTGTGTGTGAGACACGGGGTAACCTGTCACTCACACACACACAGCAGGAGCTGGTCAGCCTTCTGTGTGACGCTGTGTGTGTGTGAGACACGGGGTAACCTGTCACTCACTCACACACACACAGCAGGAGACAGTCAGCCTTCTGTGTGACGCTGTGTGTGTGTGTGAGACACGGGGTAACCTGTCACTCACTCACACACAGCAGGAGACAGTCAGCCTTCTGTGTGACACTGTGTGTGTGTGAGACACGGGGTAACCTGTCACTCACTCACACACAGCAGGAGCTAGTCAGCCTTTCTGTGTGATGCTGTGTGTGTGACACGGGGTAACCTGTCACTCACTCACTCACAGCAGGAGACAGTCAGCCTTCTGTGTGTGTGTGAGACACGGGGTAACATCTCACTCACTCACACACAGCAGGAGACAGTCAGCCTTCTGTGTGACACTGTGTGTGTGTGAGACACGGGGTAACCTGTCACTCACACACAGCAGGAGACAGTCAGCCTTCTGTGTGACACTGTGTGTGTGTGAGACACGGGGTAACCTGTCACTCACACACACACAGCAGGAGCTAGTCAGCCTTCTGTGTGACACTGTGTGTGTGTGTGTGAGACACGGGGTAACCTGTCACTCACACACACACACACAGCAGGAGCTAGTCAGCCTTCTGTGTGACGCTGTGTGTGTGTGAGACACGGGGTAACCTGTCACTCACTCACTCACACACAGCAGGAGACAGTCAGCCTTCTGTGTGACACTGTGTGTGTGTGTGAGACACGGGGTAACCTGTCACTCACACACATACACAGCAGGAGCTAGTCAGCCTTCTGTGTGACACTGTGTGTGTGTGAGACACGGGGTAACCTGTCACTCACACACTCACAGCAGGAGACAGTCAGCCTTCTGTGTGACACTGTGTGTGTGTGTGAGACACGGGGTAACCTGTCACTCACACACACACAGCAGGAGACAGTCAGCCTTCTGTGTGACACTGTGTGTGTGTGAGACACGGGGTAACCTGTCACTCACACACAGCAGGAGACAGTCAGCCTTCTGTGTGACACTGTGTGTGTGTGAGGCACGGGGTAACCTGTCACTCACTCACACACTCACAGCAGGTGACAGTCAGCCTTCTGTGTGACGCTGTGTGTGTGTGAGACACGGGGTAACCTGTCACTCACTCACACACAGCAGGAGACAGTCAGCCTTCCGTGTGACACTGTGTGTGTGTGAGACACGGGGTAACCTGTCACTCACTCACTCACACACAGCAGGAGCTAGTCAGCCTTCTGTGTAACACTGTGTGTGTGTGAGACACGGGGTAACCTGTCACTCACTCACACACACACAGCAGGAGACAGTTAGCCTTCTGTGTGACACTGTGTGTGTGTGTGAGACACGGGGTAACCTGTCACTCACTCACACACACACAGCAGGAGCTAGTCAGCCTTCTGTGTGACAGTGTGTGTGTGTGAGACACGGGGTAACCTGTCACTCACACACACACACACACAGCAGGAGACAGTCAGCCTTCTGTGTGACACTGTGTGTGTGTGTGTGACACGGGGTAACCTGTCACTCACTCACTCACTCACACACAGCAGGAGCTAGTCAGCCTTCTGTGTGACACTGTGTGTGTGTGAGACACGGGGTAACCTGTCACTCACTCACACACAGCAGGAGACAGTCAGCCTTCTGTGTGACACTGTGTGTGTGTGTGAGACACGGGGTAACCTGTCACTCACTCACTCACACACAGCAGGTGACAGTCAGCCTTCTGTGTGACGCTGTGTGTGTGTGTGTGTGAGACACGGGGTAACCTGTCACTCACTCACACACAGCAGGAGACAGTCAGACTTCTGTGTGACACTGTGTGTGTGTGTGAGAGACACGGGGTAACCTGTCACACACACACAGCAGGAGCTAGTCAGCCTTCTGTGTGACACTGTGTGTGTGTGAGACACGGGGTAACCTGTCACTCACTCACACACAGCAGGAGACAGTCAGCCTTCTGTGTGACACTGTGTGTGTGTGTGAGACACGGGGTAACCTGTCACTCACTCACTCACACACAGCAGGTGACAGTCAGCCTTCTGTGTGACGCTGTGTGTGTGTGAGAGACACGGGGTAACCTGTCACTCACTCACACACAGCAGGAGACAGTCAGACTTGTGTGTGACACTGTGTGTGTGTGTGAGACACGGGGTAACCTGTCACTCACTCACACACAGCAGGAGACAGTCAGCCTTCTGTGTGACACTGTGTGTGTGTGTGAGACACGGGGTAACCTGTCACTCACTCACACACAGCAGGTGTTAGTCAGCCTTCTGTGTGACACTGTGTGTGTGTGTGTGAGACACGGGGTAACCTGTCACTCACTCACACACAGCAGGAGCTAGTCAGCCTTCTGTGTGACACTGTGTGTGTGTGAGACACGGGGTAACCTGTCACTCACACACACACAGCAGGAGACAGTCAGCCTTCTGTGTGACACTGTGTGTGTGTGAGACACGGGGTAACCTGTCACTCACTCACACACAGCAGGAGCTAGTCAGCCTTCTGTGTGACACTGTGTGTGTGTGTGAGACACGGGGTAACCTGTCACTCACACACACACAGCAGGAGACAGTCAGATTTCTGTGTGACACTGTGTGTGTGTGAGACACGGGGTAACCTGTCACTCACTCACACACGGCAGGAGACAGTCAGCCTTCTGTGTGACACTGTGTGTGTGTGAGACACGGGGTAACCTGTCACTCACACACACACAGCAGGAGCTAGTCAGCCTTCTGTGTGACGCTGTGTGTGTGTGAGACACGGGGTAACCTGTCACTCACTCACACACAGCAGGAGACAGTCAGCCTTCTGTGTGACACTGTGTGTGTGTGAGACACGGGGTAACCTGTCACTCACACACTCACAGCAGGAGACAGTCAGCCTTCTGTGTGACACTGTGTGTGTGTGACACGGGGTAACCTGTCACTCACTCACACACACACAGCAGGAGACAGTTAGCCTTCTGTGTGACACTGTGTGTGTGTGTGAGACACGGGGTAACCTGTCACTCACTCACACACACACAGCAGGAGCTAGTCAGCCTTCTGTGTGACAGTGTGTGTGTGTGAGACACGGGGTAACCTGTCACTCACACACACACACACACAGCAGGAGACAGTCAGCCTTCTGTGTGACACTGTGTGTGTGTGAGACACGGGGTAACCTGTCACTCACTCACACACAGCAGGAGACAGTCAGCCTTCTGTGTGACACTGTGTGTGTGTGAGACACGGGGTAACCTGTCACTCACTCACACACAGCAGGAGACAGTCAGCCTTCTGTGTGACACTGTGTGTGTGTGTGAGACACGGGGTAACCTGTCACTCACTCACTCACACACAGCAGGTGACAGTCAGCCTTCTGTGTGACGCTGTGTGTGTGTGTGAGACACGGGGTAACCTGTCACTCACTCACACACAGCAGGAGACAGTCAGACTTCTGTGTGACACTGTGTGTGTGTGTGAGACACGGGGTAACCTGTCACACACACAGCAGGAGCTAGTCAGCCTTCTGTGTGACACTGTGTGTGTGTGGGACACGGGGTAACCTGTCACTCACTCACACACAGCAGGAGACAGTCAGCCTTCTGTGTGACACTGTGTGTGTGTGAGACACGGGGTAACCTGTCACTCACTCACTCACACACAGCAGGTGACAGTCAGCCTTCTGTGTGACGCTGTGTGTGTGTGAGAGACACGGGGTAACCTGTCACTCACTCACACACAGCAGGAGACAGTCAGACTTCTGTGTGACACTGTGTGTGTGTGTGTGTGAGACACGGGGTAACCTGTCACTCACTCACACACAGCAGGTGTTAGTCAGCCTTCTGTGTGACACTGTGTGTGTGTGTGAGACACGGGGTAACCTGTCACTCACTCACACACACACAGCAGGAGCTAGTCAGCCTTCTGTGTGACACTGTGTGTGTGTGAGACACGGGGTAACCTGTCACTCACTCACACACAGCAGGAGCTAGTCAGCCTTCTGTGTGACACTGTGTGTGTGTGTGAGACACGGGGTAACCTGTCACTCACACACACACAGCAGGAGACAGTCAGACTTCTGTGTGACACTGTGTGTGTGTGAGACACGGGGTAACCTGTCACTCACTCACACACAGCAGGAGACAGTCAGCCTTCTGTGTGACACTGTGTGTGTGTGAGACACGGGGTAACCTGTCACTCACTCACACACACACACAGCAGGAGACAGTCAGCCTTCTGTGTGACGCTGTGTGTGAGACACGGGGTAACCTGTCACTCACACACACACAGCAGGAGCTAGTCAGCCTTCTGTGTGACACTGTGTGTGTGTGAGACACGGGGTAACCTGTCACTCACACACTCACAGCAGGAGACAGTCAGCCTTCTGTGTGACACTGTGTGTGTGAGACACGGGGTAACCTGTCACTCACACACACACAGCAGGAGACAGTCAGCCTTCTGTGTGACACTGTGTGTGTGTGAGACACGGGGTAACCTCTCACTCACACACACACAGCAGGAGACAGTCAGCCTTCTGTGTGACGCTGTGTGTGTGTGTGAGACACGGGGTAACCTGTCACTCACACACTCACAGCAGGAGACAGTCAGCCTTCTGTGTGACACTGTGTGTGTGTGACACGGGGTAACCTGTCACTCACACACACACAGCAGGAGACAGTCAGCCTTCTGTGTGACACTGTGTGTGTGTGTGAGACACGGGGTAACCTGTCACTCACTCACACACAGCAGGAGCTAGTCAGCCTTCTGTGTGACGCTGTGTGTGTGTGTGAGACACGGGGTAACCTGTCACTCACTCACTCACACACAGCAGGAGACAGTCAGCCTTCTGTGTGACGCTGTGTGTGTGTGAGACACGGGGTAACCTGGCACTCACTCACACACAGCAGGAGCTAGTCAGCCTTCTGTGTGACACTGTGTGTGTGTGAGACACGGGGTAACCTCTCACTCACACACACACAGCAGGAGACAGTCAGCCTTCTGTGTGACGCTGTGTGTGTGTGTGAGACACGGGGTAACCTGTCACTCACACACTCACAGCAGGAGACAGTCAGCCTTCTGTGTGACACTGTGTGTGTGTGACACGGGGTAACCTGTCACTCACATCACACACACAGGCAGGAGCTAGTCAGCCTTCTGTGTGACACTGTGTGTGTGTGTGAGACACGGGGTAACCTGTCACTCACTCACACACAGCAGGTGTTAGTCAGCCTTCTGTGTGACACTGTGTGTGTGTGTGAGACACGGGGTAACCTGTCACTCACTCACACACACACAGCAGGAGCTAGTCAGCCTTCTGTGTGACACTGTGTGTGTGTGAGACACGGGGTAACCTGTCACTCACTCACACACAGCAGGAGCTAGTCAGCCTTCTGTGTGACACTGTGTGTGTGTGTGAGACACGGGGTAACCTGTCACTCACACACACACAGCAGGAGACAGTCAGACTTCTGTGTGACACTGTGTGTGTGTGAGACACGGGGTAACCTGTCACTCACACACACACACACACAGCAGGAGACAGTCAGCCTTCTGTGTGACACTGTGTGTGTGTGTGACACGGGGTAACCTGTCACTCACTCACTCACACACAGCAGGAGCTAGTCAGCCTTCTGTGTGACACTGTGTGTGTGTGAGACACGGGGTAACCTGTCACTCACTCACACACAGCAGGAGACAGTCAGCCTTCTGTGTGACACTGTGTGTGTGTGTGAGACACGGGTAACCTGTCACTCACTCACTCACACACAGCAGGTGACAGTCAGCCTTCTGTGTGACGCTGTGTGTGTGTGTGTGTGAGACACGGGGTAACCTGTCACTCACTCACACACAGCAGGAGACAGTCAAACTTCTGTGTGACACTGTGTGTGTGTGTGAGACACGGGGTAACCTGTCACACACACACAGCAGGAGCTAGTCAGCCTTCTGTGTGACACTGTGTGTGTGTGTGAGACACGGGGTAACCTGTCACTCACTCACACACACACAGCAGGAGACAGTCAGCCTTCTGTGTGACACTGTGTGTGTGTGTGAGACACGGGGTAACCTGTCACTCACTCACACACAGCAGGAGACAGTCAGCCTTCTGTGTGACACTGTGTGTGTGTGTGAGACACGGGGTAACCTGTCACTCACTCACACACACAGCAGGAGCTAGTCAGCCTTCTGTGTGACGTTGTGTGTGTGTGTGACACGGGGTAACCTGTCACTCACTCACACACAGCAGGAGCTAGTCAGCCTTCTGTGTGACACTGTGTGTGTGTGAGACACGGGGTAACCTGTCACTCACTCACTCACACACAGCAGGAGACAGTCAGCCTTCTGTGTGACACTGTGTGTGTGTGAGACACGGGGTAACCTGTCACTCACACACACACAGCAGGAGCTAGTCAGCCTTCTGTGTGACACTGTGTGTGTGTGTGAGACACGGGGTAACCTGTCACTCACACACACACACAGCAGGAGCTAGTCAGCCTTCTGTGTGACACTGTGTGTGTGTGTGAGACACGGGGTAACCTGTCACTCACTCACACACACAGCAGGAGACAGTCAGCCTTCTGTGTGACACTGTGTGTGTGTGTGAGACACGGGGTAACCTGTCACACACACACAGCAGGAGCTAGTCAGCCTTCTGTGTGACACTGTGTGTGTGTGAGACACGGGGTAACCTGTCACTCACACACACACAGCAGGAGCTAGTCAGCCTTCTGTGTGACACTGTGTGTGTGTGTGAGACACGGGGTAACCTGTCACTCACTCACACACAGCAGGAGCTAGTCAGCCTTCTGTGTGACACTGTGTGTGTGTGAGACACGGGGTAACCTGTCACTCACACACACACAGCAGGAGACAGTCAGCCTTCTGTGTGACGCTGTGTGTGTGTGAGACACGGGGTAACCTGTCACTCACTCACACACACAGCAGGAGACAGTCAGACTTCTGTGTGACACTGTGTGTGTGTGAGACACGGGGTAACCTGTCACTCACTCACACACAGCAGGAGCTAGTCAGCCTTCTGTGTGTGTGTGTGAGACACGGGGTAACCTGTCACTCACACACTCACAGCAGGAGCTAGTCAGCCTTCTGTGTGACACTGTGTGTGTGTGAGACACGGGGTAACCTGCCACTCACTCACACACAGCAGGAGCTAGTCAGCCTTCTGTGTGACACTGTGTGTGTGTGTGTGTGAGACACGGGGTAACCTGTCACTCACTCACACACACACAGCAGGAGACAGTCAGACTTCTGTGTGACACTGTGTGTGTGTGAGACACGGGGTAACCTGTCACTCACACACACACAGCAGGAGCTAGTCAGCCTTCTGTGTGACGCTGTGTGTGTGTGTGAGACACGGGGTAACCTGTCACTCACTCACACACACACAGCAGGAGACAGTCAGCCTTCTGTGTGACACTGTGTTGTGGTGGTTGTAGTTGTGGTTGGTGGTGGTTGTTGTGGTTGTTGTGGTTGTTGTGGTTGTGGTTGTTGTGGTTGTGGTTGTTGTGGTTGTTGTTGATGATGTTGTTGTTGTGGTTGTTGTGGTTGTTGTTGGTTGTGGTTGTTGTGGTTGTTGTCGTTGTTGTCATTGTAGTTGTTGTTGTGGTTGTTGTGGTGGTTGTTGTTGTGGTGGTTGTTGTTGTGGTTGTTGTTGTGGTTGTTGTAGTTGTTGTTGTGGTTGTAGTTGTTGTTGTGGTTGTAGTTGTTGTGATTGTTGTTGTTGTGGTTGTTGTAGTTGTTGTTGTTGTGGTTGTAGTTGTTGTTGTGGTTGTAGTTGTTGTGATTGTTGTTGTTGTGGTTGTTGTTGTTGTTGTTGACTCACTTCGTATTCTCTGCTGGCCTCCAGCAGCAGAGCTCCGGGCTCCATGGAGCCGATCCTGAACACATTCACAGACGCCTCTACACAACAACAACCACAACAACCACAACAACAACAACAACCATCAACAATCATTAACAACAACAACCACAACAACCATTAACAACAACAACCATCAACAACCACAACAACAACCATCAACAACAACAACCACAACCATCAACATCAACAACAACAACAAAACAACAACCATTAACAACACCTTCACAGACGCCTCTACACAACAACCACAACAACAACCATCAACAATCATCAACAACAACAACCATCAACAACCACCACAACCATCAACAACAACAACAACAACAACACCTTCACAGACGCCTCTACACAGCAACCACAACAACCATTAACAACAACAATCATCAACAACAACCACAACAACTACAACTACAACCACAACCACAACAACCACAACAACAACAACAACAACCATTAACAACCATCAACAACCACAACAACACCTTCACAGATGCCTCTACACAACAACAACAACAACCATCAACAATCATTAACAACAACCACAACCATCAACAACAACAACCACAACCATCAACAACAACAACCACAACAACAACCATCAACAACAACAACCACAACCATCAACAACAACAACAACCATTAACAACACCTTCACAGACGCCTCTACACAACAATAACAACAACAATCATTAACCATCAACAACAACAACACAACAACAACAACAACAACAACACAACAACAACAACCATCAACAACACCTTCACAGACGCCTCTACACAACAACCACAACAATCAACAACCATAACAACAACCATCAACAACAACAACACCATCAACAACAACAACAACCACAACAACAACAACCATCAACAACAACAACCATCAACAACACCTTCACAGACGCCTCTACACAACAACAACCATCAACCACAACAACCATCAACAACAAGCATCAACAACAACAACCATCAACAACACCTTCACAGACGCCTCTACACAACAACAACCACAACAACAACCACAACAACAACAAAACAACAACAACACAACAACAACCATTAACAACACCTTCACAGACGCCTCTACACAACAACAACAACAACAACCATTAACAACCACCACAACCATCAACAACAACATCAACAACAACAACCACCACAACCACAACAACAACAACCACAACAACACACAACAACCACAACCACAACAACCACCACAACAACAACCACAACAACAACAACTACTACAACAACAACAACCACAACAACCACCATCAACAACACCTTCACAGACGCCTCTACACAACACCACAACCACAACAACAACAACAAACCACCACAACAACAACCTCTACCACCACACTCACCACCACCACATTCACCACTACACTCACCACTACACTCACACTACTCACCACCACACTCACCACTACTCAACACTACACTCACCACTACTCACCACTACACTCACCACCACACTCACCACTACACTCACCACTACTCACCACTACTCACCACTACACTCACCACTACTCACCATTACCACTCACCACTACTCAACACTACACTCACCACTACACTCACCACTACTCACCACTACACTCACCACTACTCACCACTACTCACCACTACACTCACCACTACTCACCACCACACTCACCACTACTCAACACTACACTCACCACTACTCACCACTACTCAACACTACACTCACCACTACACTCACCACTACTCACCACTACACTCACCACTACTCACCACTACTCACCACTACACTCACAACTACTCACCACTACACTCACCACTACTCACCACCACACTCACCACTACTCACCACTACTCACCACTACACTCACCACCACACTCAC